AAACACTATGAAAGTGTAAAAATAGGTTTTAATACCAGCAGTACATTTTTGGAAATATATTACCAGCAATGAATTCTCGAAGAAAAAATATTACCAGCAATAAAAATCTTGTCACAACCCATTGAGATGTTGATATGCCATAAAACAAAACAAAAACAAAAAAACTGGTCGTTCGCAGTTTTTCATCAATTCGTTTTTTTTCTTATTTGGCTACATTAAGTTCCTTTTTCTTTTTATGTGCCATATTCTTTCAGGATATAAGCGACCATGGCTCTCCACCCCCTTCTATCCCTTGCAGATCTCAGCAAGTTCCTTCCCTCTGCTTCCTCCCTCAGACCACGTTCTGGCATCCACTTGCTTAAGACCGCCATGTATGTCACCCGTTGTTTTTCCTTGTCTCACTTTCCTTCTATTCGAACCGTGAGTATCAGATTCTCCAGGCCTTCCTTCCTCATTATGTGTTTCAGAAACTTCAGCTGCCTCTTCCTGATGTTAAGTATACGCCTCTTCCTTATTTATAACCTCTCTAAGATCTCATCGTTGCTTACACGCTCGATCCATGATATCCTTAGCATCATTCTGTAAAATCATATCTCTGTTGCCTAGAGTCTCTTCTTCATCTTTGAAGAAATCACCCAACATTCGCCGCCGTAAAGAATGTAACGTATCAGTTCAGTATTCTTTTCTTTAGTACCAAAGAAATCCTCCTGTCTCGCAATACTCTTCTCAGCTTTTGGGATGTGTCTCCTTGGCTATCCCAATACGTCTACGGTTCTCAGTGTCGCACTTACTTTCCTCTGTCAGAACGCTTCATAGATATATAAACTTCCAAATCTGCTTGATTCTCGTGTTGCCCACCTGCAAATCATATTTCGGTCTTATCCTCTTACTGATGACCATGCATTCTGTTGTCTTGTAGTTCATGCTTAGTCTTTTCTTCTCACTCTCCGTCGCTACCTTCTGTAGGAGATTTTGTAATTTCTTCTCCCTGCCTGCTATCAGTACTGTGGCATCTGCGTTGTTGTTAAGATTGTGGCCGCCAATGCTAAATCCCGGTAGGGTTTCCAATTCTCTCAGAATTGCCTCGCTGTACAGGTTGAACAGGTCGGGTGAGAAGACGCATCCTTGCCTTAAGCCCCTTTCTATTTTCGAATATTCACTGAACTCGTTCCCTATGCACATGCATGCTGTTTGCTGCCAGTATAGCTTCTTGATTATTCTACATTTCCCAAATATATCAAGGTTGCTGAGCAGTTCCATCAGATGCTTGTGGCGTCATTTGTCGAAGGCTGTTGCGTAGTCTATGAAACATAATTACACGTCCTTCTGCATTTGTATCGCTCTTTCAGATAAAATTCTGAGCATGAATATTGCATTCCTTGTTCCGGTGTTTTTAACGAACACGCACTGTTCTTGTCCTATCTCTGGCCTGATTCTACTGCGCGCTCTATTCATCAGAATACGAATGATGAGTTTTGTTACGTGGCTCATTAGGGTTATTGTTCGGTGAATTTCGCATTCGTTTGCGCCTGGTTTCTTAGGCATTTTCCCTATGAAAATAGATCTGCTGAAATCTTCCGTATATACCCGCAGTTGTAGATGTCACTTGTTATTTCGGTGATCTTGTCTATGCCAAAGTCATTTAAGGCTGTCAGCATTTCCGTTACAATTCCGTCTGGCCCAGCTGCCTTGTTTCTGTTCAATTTGGCCAGTGCGGCTTTTACTTCGGTTTTCAGAATTCCAGGTCCGTTGATAGTTCTGTGTACTGATGGTTGTTCCCTTTCGTCATGGAAGTGTTCTCCAATATATTCTCTCCAGCATCGAAGAATTTTTCCTTCTCTAATATGAGTCTTCCATCCTTTGATTTTAGGCAGCCTGTTGACGAGCATGTCTTCTGATGTTAGTTTTCTTATTTATTTGTGCATGTCTCTTTTGTTGGTTGTACTCAATCGTTCTAGTTCTGCTCATTTTTCGTTTAGCCATTCTTCTTTAGCTTGCATGCATTTCGTCCTTATTTCATTGTGTAATTTTCTGGACTCCGTTCTATATCTTGGCAGAGTTTTCTGTGTCCTTTCCGTCATGTAGAGAATCTCATCAGTCATCCATTAGTTTTTCTTTCTTCGTCTATTTGGGATGATATCGTTAGCTGATGTCGCTAAAGCGTCTCTTAGTGCGCCCCATATTAGTTTCCATTAAATGCATCGTATCTTCTTTTCACATTGTCCATCTATTTTTCTTTTAGGTTAGGGTTGCTCATGGGGTTTTTTGTATTGCGGTTTGGGTGTTGCATTAGGTTTCTTCAATTTCCGCAGTTTCACTCCTAGTTTACATATAAGAGGGTGATGATCGCTTCCGTAGTCGGCACTTGGGTGGGTTTTGCAGTGAATCCTTGCATTCCTGAATCTTTTGTTAATGGTTTTATAATGAATTTGATTTTTAGTTTTTCCTCCTGGGCTCCTCCATGTCCATTGTCGACTCGGATGTTCTTGGAACCATGTGTTAGCTATTACCTGGGAATTGATTGTGCACCATTCGATCCATATTTCTCGGCGTTTGTTGCGGTTCCCTAATCCGAATCTTCCGGCTCACTGCCTACTTCCCTTTCACTGCCTACTTTGGCATTTAAGTCTCTCATCATAATGGTTATTTCCTGTGATTTGCATAGAGCCCTGGCACTGTCCAGCATGGAGTAAAATGATTCAATGTCCTCTTCCATTGTGCCGTCGGTGCGTACACTACTAATATAGCCGTGTTAAAAGGCTTCCCTTTCAGCTTTCCTACCAGAATTCTTTCGGAAAGTTGGTGGTATCCAAGAACACATTTTTTTAAATACACTATCTAGTATTAGTCCCACTCCTTTGTCATTCTTCCCACCGCCTGCATATATTATTCTGAGTTTGTCGCATACAAAATGACCGTTGTTTGGACATCTGGTTGCATATACAGCTAGAATGTTGATTTTAAGCCTGTTCATCTCTTGTTTAATATTATCAAACTGGCCGCAGTTGTTCAATATTCGGACGTTCCAATGTCCCGAGGGTTATTTTGTGTTTGATGCGAGCAATCACAGGATAACGGTCCGGTGACACCTGTCGCTCATGTCGTTTCTTTTCGGGCGAGAGATAGGTTCCAATGACTTTTATCCCCTTTACACCGTTTATGCTATCAGTTGCTGGATGACGGTCAAATAACACCTGTTACGCATGAGGCCTTTGAGATATCTAAGGCGCTCTCTCGGGATGAACTTATTACCGAGTGCCTTGATCAATCATGGGTTTATTCAGTTTATTGAAAATAATATTTTAACACGTTGACGCTCTACTACAAGATAGCATGCGGTTGGTACATTTTATTACGTCACTGACTGTATTTCTGTACTGGGTATGACGATAAAATACATCCGGCAGCAAGGCCACTTATCAGGAGGTTTTGATGAGCGTAGAACCTCCTCTTCATTGCTGTTCTTCCCAGGTTCACCTTGTGGTAGCACCTGTCACCGTGCTGATAACAAATATGGCGCCAGTTTGTTTACATTGCGTAGATCAGTACGAAAATTTCAGTGATTGCGCAGGTTAGTGTTGCCAACATTGTGTGAAAATTGTGTGTGAATTGATTGGACGGTTTTTCAAATATTAGAAAAAGTTATTTCGATAATAATTTGGCACGCAGTATACACACTTTTCTCTCGTTGGAAGTACTACAAACTTGCTCTTTTTGATATATATATATATATATATATATATATATATATATATATATATATATATATATATATATGCGTGTGTGTGTGTTTTTATTATTCGATATCTTATGCCGCTAAATTTTATGTTCCTGACCCCCTGTAACTTCAACTATAAGCAGTTTTAAAAATAATAACATTACATGCAATACAGCTCATATTGAAAGCATGTTTTAGTCGCTTATGGCTTCAGTCCATTATGTTTGCAGTTCCATATTTCAGAGAAATAAACGAGAATGTCTTTGACAGTTGGACATTCAAACGCGCATGCGTGTCTAGATAAAAGTGCTGCATTTTTTTTATTATTATTTGCCCATTCATATGTCTCTTACGTGCCTTGTGAGACGAGGAAATAAGTCAGTTTCACCTTTGTTAATAGCAAAATTTTCACTTCAAACAATAATTCAGATCTACTGCCAAGCTTAATTCATAGTCAATCTATTCATGTAAACTAATGTAAACCTTCACAGTGGGATCGCCTATCTAGCATGCTAGAAAGATGCATGATATTTGAACTTTAAGTACATTACGTGACTAATCCATTTAGCACGTTCCAGGACCACCGTGTCATTAACGATGGAGGTGGGGCAGGAAACCATCTACCCTTTCAACATTATTACAACGATCTTATAGAATCGCAACATAGATCTATATGTATATTTGTAAGTTTCAATATCAGTGTAAAGGTATAATTAGTTGCTAGACCGTAGATTCTCGATTGGATTGAAATCAGAAGAGTTTCCAGGCCAGTCTATAGTACTTTGATATACTCAATGGTAAGGCTTGTCAAGGTGTATCAGCGTTATAATTTTCGTACACTTCCTTGAAGTAACGACCATCGTAGACAATGGCCATAGGACAACTAATCGACAGGAGAGACAATAGAGTTTGGGCAGGATAAAAATTTGATGCAATCACGGATGACGAAGTATTTTTCAAGGCCAAACAATTTTCATCATACACTCCGAAAAGAGATTCATATTACTGCACGCCACTGCAAATGACCTAATCTGAGGAAAAATAGAAATCAATTACAACCTGTCACTCCGTAAGAAACGAATAAGTCTTAAGGGAAACGGAAACAAAAAGGAAACTATGTTCAGAATAGAAAAAGAAACCTGTAAAATCTTAGAAACGTAATTAGGACGGAGGGCTTGGCGAATTTAACACCCATAGGACATATCGAATGAAGAAAAAAGTGTCACTCCTGTGGGTCTAAAACAGACCTTATGGTGAAAGAAATAAAACTAAAGAGGTTGTTTCAATTAATTTGCACAAGGATGTGCTCGAAAGAAAGGTAGGTGAGTAAAAGAAAGAAAGAAAGAAAGAAAGAAAGAAAGAAGAGAAAGAAAGAAAAAAGAGTATAAAAGAGCAAAAAAGTAAGGAGAAAAGACAGACAAACAAAGATACAGAGAAAAGGACAGATAAAAACAGAATTTAAGGAAAAGAGTGAATGAGAATTGAGAATGTTCAAATGTTTGGGATTGAGATAGAAAAAGAGAATATTGATGAGCAAACGAAAAAGAAGTGTTTCAAATCGCAGTAAAGGGGTGGATACAAGTCTCGAAAGATAGAGCGTATATGAATGTGAACAAGAAAGAAAGAAAGAAAGAACGAAAGAAAGAAAAAGAAAGAAAGAAAGAAAGAAAGAAAGAAAGAAAAGAACGAAAGAAAGAAAGAGAGAGAGAAAGAAAGAGAGAGAGAGAGAGGGAGAAAGAAAAGAAAAAGAAAAAGAAAGTAAAGACAACAAGCAAGAATTATCAGCTGTGATTAAGTAAGAAAATGAAAATTGAAAAGAATGAGAAAATAACAATGAATGAAAAGTGGTAAAAGAAATAAAGAAGATAATATAAAAGAAAGGAAGAAAGAAAAAAGTAAGAAAGAAGGAAAAAAGAAAGAAGAAAAAAAAGAAAGAGGGAAAGAAAAGAGAAGGAAAGAAAAAAGGAAAGAAAGGAAAAAGAAAGAAAAAGAAAGTATGCAAAAAAGAAAGACAGAAAGAAAGCGAGATAAGTACAATATAATGGGAATATGGAGGTGTATGGAGAAAGACTGAATTTAAAGGAACAAGTGAGAAAATAGGGAAAATAAATAAGGGGGAAAAAATCAATAGAATGAAAAGAAGGAAAAAGAAAGAAAGAAATGAAAGTAAAAAAAATGTCAAATAATCTACCGTAAATGCAGTAAACGAAAGATTAAAGCAAGATTTTTTCTTGTGATGCCGACTTTATCACTTAATACTTTTTAAATTGTCACTTTGCAAATCTTCCACTGGAGAGATCACATTTTTTCTGACTTCCTGCAGACGCACTTAATCTTCACACTGCGCATGCGTACTTCTGTCTAAATCTCTGGTTTTGATCTATTTATCTGCGTCCTTTAATATGCCTGCGTTTTTTCTAATGATAAAAACGAATCTTGTTTGCGTGATTTTTAATCCGCAAAAGGCTGTTTCATGGTGGTTTGGACACCGATGTCAAACACGCGATAAACATTTAATCAAACAATATTCATGGAAATCAAACTCCCATTCGCTAGAGACGAAGAAAGGCAATTTTGTAACAGTAAATTTAACGGTTCATCCGACCTTATCTTCACACCCGCCCTTGACACGAACAGCTATTGTCGCCATCACTAAATATTCGACGAATTAAAAAACTGAATTTTAACAATTATATATAAAAAAATTAGTATCGGCTTATTTTTTAGGTTACGTTCTATCTTTCTACAAAACCAACTTTGAAGCACGGTCACTAGTTTCGGTGACGAGTAGCGAACTCTGATAGATTTCAGAGAGCTAACAGATTGGGTGATTAGTAATGAATTATCTTGCATTTGAATAACTATCGCTAATAAATTTTAGTAATTCAATGACAAAATGGGAAACTCCTAACTGACACATTTTATCCGCAAAATTTTTAGCCTGAATAATTCTTTAGACTCATAAATTTATGAATAAAACAAAACGCCAGTGTAATAAAAATTTAGAATATAGTTCTGCTTAATGTGCCTTTACTGAACGTAACTGAAGATTCTTTAATTTTTCGCTAAAATGGCGTGACTTATTTATACAAATCATAAGACAAGGGAGGTAATCGGTTTTGTCATACCACATTCTCCCTGGCTTTGTTTTTTCCTACTCCGACACAAAACCATCCAAGTGACAGGGACTCTTGACAATTCTCTGGGATCGTCTCGGTGGCAGCTGATCTGGGCTTTCAAGTGTTACGGGAACAGTCGGCCAGAAGTATTTTGTCTCATATTGTTTTTGTCTGCTTCCTGGAGTGGGGCGCTCTGATTCTGAAAGCTGAGTCTGTGATATTATACTCTCGTTTTGAGGGAAGTGTTCTGGTGTCGATCTCTGAATCGTCACTAGAGTGTCCTTGTTCCTCAAGAAAATCCAATGGCATTGTATCGTCGTTACTATCAAGAGGGATAGCTATCACTTCAGCGGAGAGCTTCACTCCCCCCAGTTTGATAACTGGACGACAGGGGGAAAATCTCTGACGGAAACTTTCAATTGTCTCCTGTAGGGGTGCTGGATGCGGGCATAGAGTGTGTCCACCTCGAGCAGTTTCACCTAACTCACAGGAGACTCATACTTGCTTTGTCGAATATGTTTTCTAAAGAAAACAATACGTTGCTGTGATAGCCCCGAAGAGAGGGAGATCCCACCCGAACTTCGTCTTAGAAAATTTACAAACCTCTCCTGAGGTGTTGCATTAGTTCTTGTACACAATAGTGCTATTATAGCATACAGAGCCTCAGTTATTACGTCTTCCCAATGTCTAATTGGAAGATTTTGGTTTTCAAGTGCTAACTGTATGGTCTTCTATACTAAGCTACTGCACTGTCACTTCCCTTGAGTATTATAAGCGGTAGACCGCGCCCTGTATCAATAAAAATCATTTTAGTTGATCGGCCATAAGAGGTTCGGCGATGAATATTATCTAGCGCCACGGATATTGAGAACAGTGAGCAAAGACAGCGCTTGACCATTGTTGCACTTATATCTGGACAGGGAAAGGCAAAAGTAATCGTCAACGATAATTAGTAGATATTTGTTTCGGGATTTAGATGGAAGAGAGTCTGCACAGAGCCTTTCACATGGCTTTTACTTGGGTTCCCGGTTCCGGTTTGTTTCATTCGAGCGCATATCTGACAACTGTTTGTTATTCGTTTCACGTCCTCAGCTGTCAAAGGTTACTTCCGATTTCGAACCCCATGCATCATCCTCCTGATATCTGGATGCCAGAGGTCGTTATGAACTTTTTTGTAGATCTTTGGTGTTGTTTATTGATCCACACACTCTTGACAGCGCGTCCGGCGTTTCATTTTCCTTCCCCAACCAATAGAAAACGTCAAACAAAATACACGAAGCTCTACACTCCATATCGCTATCTTTTCATTTTTTTATTTTTATTTTGCTTGACGTGTTTGGATTAAACATAAAAAAAGAGAATGACTTTTGATCAGTGATTAATTTAAACCAGTGACCAATTAAGAAATGTAGCCATTTTTAGCGCCTCGACTATGGCATTAGCCTCTTTTTCGATAGCTAAATGTCTGCACTCTGATATTGACAATATTCAGAAGAAGAATACTACAAGGCACCTGGATTGCCTTAAGATGGCAGCTATGGCGTGATCGGAATCATCAGTCTCTACTTCTAGAGGAATGTCAGGATTCATCAAAGTGATGGCTGAGTTGACAATATCTCTTTTTAATCCCTCAAAGGCTTTAAGAGCAGAAGAAGGTAAAAGAAATTTGGTAATTTTACTAAGTGAGTGTATTTTCTTAGAAAAGGAGGGTATCCATTGAGAAAAATAAGTGAACATACCCATGGGATAACAAAAGAAAACCAGACTCATCAGGCCAGATAACAATTTCCATTGATATAATGTCTATTTATGATGCCTGTATGACAGAGAACATTATGAACTTTTTGTAGATCTGTAGTGTTGTTTATTGGTCCCCATACTCTTGACAGTGCGTCTACTGTTGCATTTTTCTTTCTCAACTGATAGAAAATGTTAAACAACAAACAGGAAATATCCACACTCCATCTCGCTATCTTTTCATTTTGTATTTTGCTTTCCATATTGGGATTAAACAGAAAAGTGATTAATTTAAAGCAGTGACCAATTAAGAAATGTCACCATTTGTTTAGCATCTCGATTATCGCATAAGCCTCTTTTTCGACAACACTCAGATTTTGACAATGTTCTGAAGGAGAATATTACAGAGCACCCCTATGCATGGTTGCAAGCATCAGTCTCTACTTCTAGGGGAATGTCAGAATTCACCAAAGTGATGGCTGAGTTGACAATATCTCTTTTTAACCCATCAAATGTTTTAACGGCAGAAGAAGGTAAAGGAAATTTAGTAATTTTCATAAGTGGGTGTATTTCTTTCAGAAAAGGAAGGTATCCATTGAGAATAATGAGCGGAAATACCCATGGTACGTCGCAAGGTGGCTGTGGAGTTAGGAATAGGTAGTTTAAGCAATGTTTTTAGGCATTCAGAGTCTTGTCATAGTTGAGTGTAAGATTATATTTTTTTGACGGTTTTAGACTGCGATTGTAGTCGGCCTAGTCATGGGTAAATAGCAGAACAGACCATGTACTATAGCCTTGGGTGGCAACTGGTCTACCGTAGAAAGAAATGGCAACCTACTGCGTGAAAAAATCTTCCTCGTCAGTCATGTATCGAAATACCCATGATCGCATAACTGACTGACTTAGGATCACATAAAAGAGACTGACATTTGATCATTGATTAATTTAAAGCAGTGAGCAATTAAGAAACTTCGACATTTTTAGCGGCTTTTTTTCGACAGCTGAATGTCTGCGCTCAGATTTTGACAATGTTCTGAAGGAGCGTCGGTCTCTGCTTCTAGGGGATGTCAAAATTCACCAAGATGATAAATGAGTCGGCAATATCTTTTTTTAACCCATCAAGGGCTTTAACAGCAGAAAAAGGTAAAGAAAATTCAGTAATTTTCCTAAGTAGTTTATTTTTTTCAGAAAAGGCGGGTATCCATTGATAATAATGAGCAAAAATATCCATGGTTCGTCGCAATGTTGCTGTTGTGTTGGGAATAGGTAGCTTTAGCAATGGTTTTAGCTGTTCAAGGTTTGGCTTTATGATTCCGTTACCCAAAATATATCCTAACCTGTGAAGATAATGAAGCGGTCGCCATAGCCACCTAACTATTACAATGCACTGTTTTAAATCTGATTCTTTGTGTAATATCAACACAAATGACATTCTCTGAGCTTCCTGTGTCAACCAGAGCATTTATTTCTACCCCGTGTATTTTTACCGTCAATATAGGCATTGAAAGACATTTAGGATTTGCTGATGATATAATACTAGTCGTAATGAGAACATTTGAACCAGGTGAAAAAAGCTTGATCGACAAACCTTAGGTGAAATGTCCCTTCGTCCCGTACTTGTGGCATTTAGTTTCTCTTTCTAGGCAACACAACCTGTGGTGTAAGCTTGAGACCACAAAAATAACATTTTCCTCTGGCTGCAGTACTAGCAATGTATGCAATGTCTTCTGGAGAGAGAAGATTTTGAACTGGCGGAAGCGGGGATAGACTTGAGGAAGTCTGATATAAAAAAAAAACTGTCTTTTTTTCCCTGTTTAGGTCGTTTGAACTGGTGGACTAGTAGTAGTGTGAGGACTTAATGCAACTTCTGCAACTCTTGTTTGTGGATATGAACAGGATTGCTTTCCTGCCAACTCCAAGGTAAATGCCTGCTCACGAGTAGTAGTTAAATCTAGTTGTTTATTTTTCAAAAAACTTTGACGGATTTAGTTCGATTCTAATCGATTTATAAAGGAGTCTCTGATTAATTCGTCCTTTGCCTGATCTTCTGTCGTCGCTTGAAAGTCGCAGCCTCGACTTAAGATTTATAAGCGCTGAAGATACTGTTTTACCCCGTCCTCAGGAGATTGGCGGGTAGTTGCTAATATATGCCGGGTAAACCATGACACTCTGGTAAGTTTTGCAGTGAGAAATATTGGTATATACAGATATAGAAACACAATGCAGGTTAAGCGTATCCGTGTCAGTAATAGGTCAGGAGTTGATGAACTATTTTACAGTGAAAGCAAGAAGCCTTCAAATAATCGTTTCTAATATTGCCAGGAACCAGTAGAAGACGGATTTGCAGAGTCAGAGTCGAGACGTTCTGGTTTAAGGTATTTGTTCATAATTGTATTCAATAAATTGTAATGAAAACGCAGTCAAGTTTGGCTTAATGTGCCTTTATTGAACGTAACTGAAGATTCTTTACGTTTTGGTTAAGATGGCGTGGCTTATTTATACAAATTGTAGACAGGGGAGGTAATCGTTAAAAACCGGTTAAAATTTTATATTGAAAACTTTTCAAGGATCCTCAAGATTAAATTTAAATTTTTGATTGCTGGTATATCAATATTTTTAATGTACCCGATTTTACTCTGCTTATATCATTTTTGCTTATATTTTTAATATTTATCACTGTTGTTTTTATATGTACCACATTCTATAAAACTTTTTTTGATCGAATGGGGGATATGTTATATAATCCTGAAACTAGATATACTGTAAAGGATTGCATGATACATTTTCATCTTAATAAATTACTTTTTCCTATACTTAAAACTTCATTCTCAATTAAAGACAGACTTTGTTAGGACGAATATCGAATGCACTGAAAGTATTGTTTGAAAAATTTACATTTTTATGTTCATATTCTCTTTTGCAATTTCCTCGATGTTTTACACACACACACACACACACACACACACACGCACGCACACACATACACACACACACATA